CTTTGTGTGTAAAAATAATGTATCACATAAAAGGTGAATTTACAAACGTTTCGATCCTTTGTTTTGGCTTATCCTCAATGTAAGTACAATATAAGAATCACGATAGGAAACGGGATTGCTGTTATATATGTCCATCCTGCATCGCTGCGACATTAAGAATTAAATGACTAAAACATTGACATTGCAAAGTAATCCAAAATAATAATCAGACAGTCAGATAAGAAAAATTTATCATAGAATATAATACTGAAAATAATTCAAACATAGAGGATAACAATAAATAAATAAATATAAATAAATAACAGTATAAGATTAATAAGAGTGCTAGCTAATTAGAAAAATTGAAGTAAATCTATGTGGTGCAGAATGAACTGTGTAAGTCAATTAATAAAACTTTAACGTAAAATTATGACAAGGTAATATCTTATTTATAGACGCAATAGCACAAAAAAAGAGCATAGACAGTACGCAGTATAATGAACTTCTAATGATAAACAAATATGTAATAAAATTAGAGACAGAAACTTCAAGAATTCATAAATAATGATCTAGAAGAAGTCGAGAAGATCGATGTCCATTTGCAAATTCAAAGCCTGTTTTTGTTTGTGTATGAAAATAGTTTCAGATATCAATCTGTTTTGTAAATTATTTTCCGTGTCCAATATTTTTACACCATCCCAATCGGAATCATGAGACATGTTAATCCTATGGTCCGCAATAACCAAATGTGTGGTATTTCTATTAATATGGTTTTTATGTTCCAACATCTTGGTTTTTAGAAGTCTCTTCGTCTGTCCGACGTACGAGATCTCGCAATTTTTACAATTAATTTTGTAAACTATTATCAAAAACTTGTCTTTCTGAGCTTTGATAAATCTATTCAACTTGTTTAAGCCCTTGTATGCCATTCTGACTACTGATTATTTATAAAAAGTTTCTTAAACTTCTCAGAGACCTTTTTAACGAATGGAATGATGAAAAATAAAGGTTTATCATTGTTCTGTTCATGAATGTCCGTTATTAGTGTTAAAAAAAAGTTGATATTGCGGAATTTATATTGCTTCAATCGTTGTTTTATATTATCAAAGATTAACTTCAAAGGATATCCATTAGCCAAGAGTATGTTAATAATTTTATTAACATTTTCTTGAAAAACAGGATGAGATAATAATAGAATAATCAGACCAATCATTGTGCCGATTTTTTGGCAATGGGGATGGCACGAATAATAATTCAAGTACCTTGCTGAAAAGGTAGGTTTTTGGTACCAATTATAAATGAGAGAGTTCCATTTTTTAATCAAAGTGATATCTAGAAAATTTATCTTGTCTCCTCCCACCTCAACAGTAAATTTTAATATCGGATGATATGCATTAAAAGTATTTAATATCATATCAACTCTTGATTTTAAAGTGGAGATGTCATCTACATGTCTATAATAGAAATTCAAAGAAAACGGTAGAACATCAAATGAATATTCTAGATCTTGCAAGACTAAATTAGCTGTGGGTGATAGAAGGGACCTTATTGGAATGCCAAACATTTGTTTATTATTATTCAAGGTAAAAAGGTAAAATTTAATATCAATTTAACTGCCTCTATGAATTCAGATTTTGGCAATGCAATTTTTGTTTCAATCATATTCCATCGACGTTCAATACGAGTTCTACCGGAAATTTGTAAATAGTGATATTACATCCAGACAAAGATAGAATCATCCTGAATTCTTAACTTAAATATTCTTTACCTAGTGAAATCCATTTTTAACAGAACTGTTTAGTGGCAGAATGAATAATAAATAGAATGAATAGTAAGCTAGAATGAATAATTTTATGCAAAAATGCGGCTAACAAGGGGAGGGTGCGGACTTGGGATCATCGATTTTAAAAAGATTTATATATGTTAAAGTACACTACTAGAAGAATACTTGAGCAAAAGAATAGGTCGCTATGCTCAGCTGTTTTCGAGAAAAATCGGTTTAAAGTGTGTAACCTTTCGTATATACCGGCCACGTTAAGTCCATTATCGCCAAGATCGCGTAACTCGGGCGCTCAGTTCTGTACTACCAATCTGTCGACTCGGATCCGATTCCTGCTTATTACACTTTTTTTATCTAAAAAATATTTATTTATTATATTATTATGTTAAATATGTGTTATATTATTATGTAAAATAAAATTAATTTAATTATCAATTGTTTTTATTTAAAATTTTCACTTTTAACTTCAATTAATTTACTGAATCTTTTTTTTTAATTTTTATTCAATTAACAATCTTATTATTTTACATGTTCTATCCAATATAAAACTAATAAAATGCCACTTTTAACATAATTTAATATATTTTAATTAAATTTTAAAATGCTTAATTTAATAAGAAAATTAAAAATAAATGTGAAAGATGTTGTGCCAAAACTTTTATTCATCTTCATCATCATCATTAATACTTGCGCTCACTGCATTTGTTCAAAAATAGGATTAGACAGGATTTCGAATTTTTTTGTGTAGAGATATATGTTACAATAGAAAAGTAGTCTAGAAAGAAGGCCAAAAACTGTTACCTGAGGACATTAGGTATACAAATATACAAATATTAGGGTCGGAGCAGTGAGTAATTTAACATTGAGTAAAAAATTACGAATCAAATAAAATTACATTGAATAAAATATTTCTTGTATTAAATAATAACTATAATAACTATTTTAAACTATTAATTTTAAACTATTGAAGTTAAAAATGAAAATTTCACGTTCTTAGCTTAACATCTACAGAATGTCGGTTCTTACTCAACATTGAATATTATACGCTCAACAATCTCACTTATCTCGGATGGCATTGCAAGATCATCCATTGCGGCATGGTGTAATCATTCCCTAATTAAATTTTGTAAGCATGCTAGCGTTATTAAACTGCAAAAAACCCCGATATGATTTTATCTGAGACCCAGCATCCATAATTACAAAATTAGCAAGCATTTATCCATACAACTCTTTACTATTAGATGTTATTACGAAAAAACTAATCCTTCTGTTAGCACTAGGCTCGGAGCAGCGCGCTCAAACCTTAGCAGTCATTAAGATCTCACATGTTCTGTTCTCAAAGGATAAACTCGTTATTAGAGTTCCGGATCAAAAGGTCAGCTCCCGGTCGTGCCGGGACAACCATTACTTATCTTTCTTCAATTTAATAATCACCCGGAGCTTTGTATTATTTTTATTTTACAACTTTATTTAAATTACACCAGAGATTTACGTTTGGACTGCAATTCGTTATTTATTTCTTGTGTAAAGCCCCACACAGCAGCTCAAACGATAAGTTGGATTCGCTGAGGAGTGTGGTGAGCGAATTGTTTTCAGTCCACATTACCACCATGCTTCCACATTGCTTGCTGCTAATAATGGATTTATTACTGATATCATTAAACGAGAAGCGGGCTGATCCAGGAAACCTCAGGTTTTTGCAAAATTCTATAATCCAGACGACTTTAGCAGTTCGGTTCTCTTATCTTAAATTAAAGAATCGGATCATGGAGTATTAAAGCTTGTTTATTTTTATCTTTTCCTTTCCCTTTTTCATTTGTATTTAACTTATGTTCAATCAATGTATGCAATTGCTCCATAATCACCTACTTACAAAGTCTACATCATTTTCGTTCTGTTTTTCATGATTAAAAAAAAGGAGAAAAAAGAAGAGGCTGTAAAATATTTCAGTTAATCCACTTTTTTCAATTGTATTTTCGTTTTGCGTGTAGATTTTTTATTCTGTAGGAGAAGGAAAATCTTTTGTTTTTTTGTGTTATAGAGGACTATTATAACTAATCTTTTTATTTCTTTGTTAACTCATAAAAGATATACAGTATTTATGAAAAAAGACGCATTTTAGAATAAAATAAAAAATATATTCGGTATATTTGGCAAATTGCACTTTGAATAACTACATAGTTCATCCATCCCGGACGAGACTGGCATAATTTTAAGATTAAATAAATTTACCAAGTGAAGTTTGATTTTAATTATGCTTTTGATCTCGGATGGACTTTCCGCAACCAAAGCTTAAGCCTCTTCTCTTCCATTAGTTATGTCTATGATAGACGATTTGTCTTAAGCTTTGAATATAATGAAGCTGCAACCATAGGAAGTGCTATGAGTTCTATGCGCCCCCTTTTTTACAATTTGAACTGTGAACTCTATTGGTAATACAGGCAGGAAGGCGTAACTACATAGCTTTATACATTCGAACGAGACCAAAGACATAATTAAGATTGAATTTCATTTAATAAGTTCGTTTAACATTAAAATTATTATTTTTGTACATCTGTTAATCTTTTGCAGCTAAACACTAAGTTATCTGTGATTCGGATTAGTGTGTCAGATAACTCGAAACTTATCATTTGAAGCGGCACTGAGCAAACCAGTAAAAATTAGGTATTTTATCGCATCATGCTTCAATAACTTCATCCGCTTGTCCTACGAGTTTATATTATATTATATTATATTATAATACTAAATTGGTATTGTCCATAAATACGTGAGGTATTCTCATTAAAGAAGTCTAACCTAATTTAAACTTATTTCTGATTTAAATCTAAAATTAGGATTTGGTTAGAATGGAGATGCAAGGAAAGGAGCAGAGGCTATGCGTTTCTTTCTTAATTTTATTTTTGTTATTGTTATTATTGTTATTTTGGTTTTAATTTTAATATGTACATATATCAAAATCAAAAAGATTTAGATTTCTTTCAATACATTTATTCAGAATTTCTTCATTCAAGTAACAGAAAAAATCAATAATCTTGATCTCCTCGCATGAAAATAAACATAAAGGGAAGATGTTTAGGATTGACTGTGTAAAGATCAATTATTTTTCTCTAAATATAAAATTTAATGATAGTATATGTGTGTGTGTGTGTGTGTGTGTGTGTGTGTGTGTGTGTGTGTGTGTGCGTGCGCGCGCGCGCGTGTACGTGCGCGCGTGTGTGATTAAAAATAAATTATCACTTACAATAAACTATCATTGATGCATTTGCTGTTCGTTCATCTGCGAAAGTAGATATAACACATGTATATTCGCCAGTAAGATCGATGCCTGGCTTATTCAATTTTATGGCTCGATATTCAGTGTATGGATCATCGCTGGCTTTGTAGGTTAGATCAATGTATTTTGCGGCAGGTTCGTCTGCCAAAGGATTTCTGCCATATATCCATTGATAAACTACTTGATTAGTGTTGAAAAACCATTTGACAACGAGACCTTTGCTCGATGTATTCTCAAGATCATAATCACAATCAAGGATAATGTAATCAGTGCCGTTAACTTTTACAGTAGCAGGTATGTTGATGCTTTTAATGATCAGTTGCCAAGATTCTGAAAAAATACAAAAATATATCCTTGTTATTAATAATAACAAGTTTTTATTATATTATATATTTCATCGCATTTCTCTATATCACTTTCTATTTATAAATATAGGAATACTTTATATATTAGATGTTATATGTTTATATTTATATTTATATCTGGATGTGTTAATTACACACTTTTGTAGATTAAAAAAAATGAAAGATATTAAAATCACGTAATTGTAAGAAATTTCTTTTCCTAAAATAATAATATTTTACAAGAAAACATACAAAAAGATCTTAACTTTAATGAACCTTAACTTTAATGAACCTTTAATATGTATATCTCAGATTAAAAAAAAGGATATGTGTTTTCTTACACATGCCCATTAGCATTTTTAAGAATTGAAACACCTTTTTGAAAAACTCGTCTATTTTCTTTCAAAAAAGATGCCGCCGAAACTATAGAAAATAGGAAATTTAATAGTAATACTAGGCCGGTTCTAACCCAGGAGTTCCGAACGGGATGCGGATGTGCGGGGTAACTCGGGGACGCGGGGGTAAAGGAGAAAGGGGTAACTGATAGGCACGGGGAAGGAGGAATGCTTTGTCGATGATCCTTTGGAATGTACTTTTGAGGGGGAAGGGGGGGAGGGGGTCTTTTTTTGTCTAAGAAGAGCTGCTAGAAAAGATATTTTTTTGTAGAAATTGACATAGGAAAAAAAAGTGCCGATATTCTGACTGCTATGTATTTAAACAAATTGCTATTTGGGAGATTTATAATGATGTCCCGAATTAGAAAAAATATTGACTGTACGTGTCACAGCATGTTAAGAGAAGCGCTAATAATCCGGTTGCTATAAATAAATAAATGTACATGTTGCAACGAGTGAATTTCGAACAATCTCGAAAAATCCGTTATTTAATGAAAATAATGTATCTAAACAAATTCGAAAGATTTATAATGATGTCCCGATATAGAAAAAATATCATTGACGATTGTATGTGTCGCAGCATAGTAAGAGAAGCGCCAATAATCCGGCTGCTATAAACAAATGTACACATTGCAACGAGTTAATTTCGAACAATCTCGAAAAATTCATTATTCAATAAAAATAAGTCGGTAAATGGACACTTCTTCTTTCTTAATTTTTCCTAATAATAAATATTGAAACATGTTCGTTCCTGTTTGGTCAAGTCCAAGTTTTCACGTAAGAGACACGAGTCCTCGACTCACCGTTGCAAATAGACAATCTGTGGTGGCCAGGATCGCACGACTCGCGGGTGCAAAGGTACAATTAGAAAGACGTTTCGTGCACGTTGGTGGCGAGTACGCGAGCACCAGTAGAGACAATGGATCTCTCGTTTAGCGCGAGATTGATACGGCGTTTGAAAGCCGTATATTGACTGGTGCGGTGATCAACGTGAACTATATCGAGCTGCGACGATTTTTGGAAGATGCCGGTGGTGTAGTGTTCGAACGAGTGTGAGACATTATAGAAAGACACGATAATGTAAAAGTGAACACCGCGTTCAACGAGTTTGTGACGGGCGATAAACGCGCCAATAAAAGTATAAACACTAAAAATAGTGAACTCTTTCGAGTGTCAAATGTGGATGAGTGGTACGAGCAGCACGTCATTGAACCTACGTTGGCATCGCTCGAAGAATTTCAAGAACGCGACAGTGGATGGGCGCTATCACGTATATTAAATTTAACAATTAATGTTAATAAATATAATCCCATGCACGCGGGGTGTTACATCGAGTTACCGCGGGAAATTATGTTAAAGAGAGCGGTAATTAACGTGCAGTCAACGGACAATGCATGTTTCGCATGGTCAGTGGTCGCGGCCTTGCATCCGGTCGAAAGGCATACAAATCGGGAATCATCGTATCCACATTATACGACGGTGTTAAATCTCCAAGACATTACGTTTCCGATGACGTTGAATCAAATTAAAAAGTTCGAACATCTCAACGAAATCTCTATCAACGTTTACGGTATCAAGGAAAAGGAGATTCTCCCAATACATCTGACAACAAAGAAAATGGAGAAACATGCAAATTTGTTGTACATGTAGGATCCGCGCGACGATAATGGACACTTCGCGTACATCAAAAACTTATCCCGTCTTGTGAGCTCGCAACTAAGTAAAAAAGAACACAAGAAATACTTTTGTGATCGGTACGTATGCACATTTTTTAACAAAATATGTAAAATATGTAAAATATTTTATAATTGTTAATTTAAATGCTAAAAATACTAAAAAATTATGTTTTCCGTCCGTGTTTTTATGTTCCGTTTGCAGATGTTTACATTAGTTTAAGTCATCCGAGAAATTGGAATCGCATACGGTGGATTGCGAACGGATGAACGATTGCGCCATCCGACTGCCGAGGACGACAAGTGGCTCGACTTCAAGAACTACTGCAACAAAGAACGACTTCCATTCATCGTCTACGCAGATCTTGAGTGCATACTGCGAAGGATGGAGCCGCAAAGAGAAAACACGTCGTACACATATCAACAGCAGCACAAGGTATTTAGCGTAGGATATTATGTGCGATGCTCGTACGACAATGCGTTATCGGCGTATCAATTTCGTCGCGGTGAAGACTGCATTGCATGGTTCGTTCAACAACTCGAAAATTTGGCGCATCAAATAAAAATTCTGTTATCCGCGAATGTCCCTATGGAAACATTATCGATCAGTGGGAGACATACCGTAGCACGACGCGTTGTCACATTTGTGAGAAATCATTTGCGTCGGACGACACGCGGGTACGTGATCATTGCCACCTTACCGGTCGTTACCGCGGACCCGCACATTCGAATTGTAATCTAAATTATAAAAAATCATATTGCATTCCTGTAATCTTTCACAATTTATCCGGTTGTGATGCGCACTTTGTTATCACAGAAATAGCTACGGCGTACGAAGGCAAAATTGACGTGCTGCCGATAACAAAGGAAAAATACATTTCATTCACTAAACATGTCAAAGATAGATCAGATTCGCAAAATTGTGTACAATTACGATTCATCAATTCGTACAAATTTTTGAGTACCAGTCTCGATAAATTGACATCTTTTTTAAGTAGAGAGAAATTGAAAATTTTACATTCCGAATTTTCCACGTTATCGAACGAGGATTTTGATTTGTTGACGCGTAAAGGTGTCTTTCCTTATGAATACGTGGATCGTGCGGACAAGCTGCAGGACACGCGCTTACCATCGCGCGAATCATTTTATAGCTCGTTGACCGATAACACAGTGTCGGAGAATGATTACGCGCACGCCGTGAACATCTGGCAGCGGTTCTCTATTGAAACCTTAGGCGAATATAGCGATCTATATTTGAAGACTGATGTTTTGTTATTGGCCGACGTTTTTGAAAATTTCCGTGAAAGTTGTATCAAAAGTTACAGTCTCGATCCCGCTCATTACTACACATTGCCAGGTTTCACGTGGGACGCCATGCTGAAACATACGCGTGTAAAATTTGAGTTGCTCACCGACATCGATATGGTTATGTTTATCGAGCGCGGTATACGCGGCGGCCTCAGTCAATGTTCCAACAGATACACGCAGGCCAATAACAAGTACATGCGTTCGTACGAAATCGTCGAAATCGTCGTCGTATTTGATGTACTACGACGTGAACAATTTATACGGATGGGCGATGTGTCAACCGCTGCCCTATGCCAAATTTCGATAGGTTGAAGACATCGCGAACTTTGATGCGAGCGCGATCGCTCCGGATTCGCCTACGAGTTATATTCTCGAGGTCGATCTCGAGTATCCGCATCATCTGCACGATCGACACACCGACTTACCTTTCTGTCCGACGCGCGATAAACCACTCGGCACGCGGCAGAATAAACTTCTCGCGACGCTATATGACAAAAAGCGATATGTCATCCACTATCATAACCTGCAGCAATGTACGCGCCACGGTCTTCGTATCGCAAAGATACACCGCGTACTACAATTCGCTCAATCCACCTGGCTCCGCGATTACATCGAACTTAATACACAGCTTAGAATGTGCGCGAAAAACGATTTCGAAAAAAATTTATACAAATTAATGAACAACGCGGTATTCGGTAAAACGATGGAAAATGTCCGGAATCACGTGGATGTAAAATTGATAACGAAATGGGACGGACGATACGGTGCGGAGGCAATGATCGCGAAATCAAATTTCCACAGCCGCAGCGTCTTTGCGGAAAATTTAATCGCCGTCGAACTGCGTAAACTCGAGGTAAAATTCAACAAGCCGATTTATGTGGATATGTGTATACTCGATATATCAAAAATCTGCTTGTATGAATTTCACCACGAATATATGTTACCGCTGTATCGCGATGTAAAATGCGCACAAATGTAAAATCAAATGTACACCGACACAGACAGTCTTGTATATCACATTGAATGTGATGATGTGTACGAGACGATGAAACGCGATATCGCTAGATTCGATACGAGCGATTATCCGGCGGACAATGCATATGGTATGTCTCTCGTGAATAAAAAAGTACCCGGCCTAATGAAGGACGAAAATAACGGCGATTATGACGGAATTTGTTGGACTCAGAGCGAAAATGTATGCGATGAGAGTGGATGGTAAAAAGGACACCAAAAAGGCGAAAGATGTAAAAAATAACGTCGTAGCGCGAACAATAACATTCGATGATTATACACGGTGTTTGAATGAAGAGATCGAAATGACTCGTCGCCAGTCATGTATAAAATCCAAGTTACACCAAGTATATACGATATCCGAATCAAAAATTGCTCTGAGTCCATACGATGACAAACGATACATCATACCGGATTCGACGGAAACGTTACCATGGAGACATTGGCGAATACTTTTGTAATATACTTTGTAATATATATGTATTTTTATATATAGTTTTATACATACATATGTACATATGTACGTATTTCTTATAGTTTATATATACATATGTACATATGTACGTATGTAATGTACAGTATGTAATGTACGTACATAT